CCAAAATAATAGATAACCGTTATAAATAAAAAAGGTACTTTGATAGAGTTGGTAGTCTTAAAATAAATTATAGAATTATTGTATTTTATGAGTATTAATCTACAATAATAGAAACTGTTATCAACACATTCAATTACCTTGAATGTGTTTTGTCATCTCATCTCATCTATAAGAAGAACATAAATTCTCATTTCAAGTTGTCTTCCATCAACTAAAATTATAAAATTTTGTGCATAATAGTTAGATAAAAAAAAGAAGTAAATCAGAGAATTAAAGTCATTTCCAAAGGATCTCTCAATTACGCTATGACTACGTTATCCTAGAACGATATATAGCTATAACTTTCTGCTGTTTTAATTATCTTAAAATATATTGAATTCAATAAAAAGATGACTTCCGTATAAATTTTTTTTGCATCTGTAGCTCCTTCACTTTATCTTCATTTCTCTCTTTATTATTATCATAAAAAATTGAAATTAGAAATCAACTTATATATATATATATAGAGAGAGAGAGAGAGAGGGGAGAGAGTAAGAAGAATCACAAAAAGAAAAATGGATAAATTTCTAGTGAGAGATTCGTTGGTATGTAACATGATTTGAATTTGAAAAGAAAAATGGATTCTATATATAATTATATATATGTAAATTGCAAATTAATAGGCTTCTTAAAATGAGAAGACAACATCAAAAAGTGGTTTGTAACTTATGATGCAATGTATTAATTTATTTAAATTAATTCATTAACTAAAAATATCAAAATTAACTAATTAATTGATTTATTGATATTATTATTTAAAAAATATTGATGTGGACAATGATGCGTTTGACATGGCGCCGACGTCAATAAATTTAATGAATACAGCAGGAATTTTAAACAAAGAAATCGTATAGAGGGAAATTTCAAACATTTTCCGTATACTACAAAACGGAAACTCTAAATCAATATTTCCCATATTGATCTTTTTTTTTTATTGTTTATTAAAAATCATTTCCAAACCACATTTTTTTCTTTCTTCATACTTTTAAAGATATTTTCTTCTTTTTCTTCTCTTCTAAATGTATGTCCAAAATTTTCTAGAAATCCCAAAAGTAAACCCATGTTTCGACTTTCCTCAAAATATCCATTTCTTATGGCAACTAAACATATGTTTCCTAAACTAAACATGTATGGGTCTGTTCCTTACTAATTTCTTTCTTTTAAAATCTACGTTCTTTTTTAGGATGTTATTATCTCTTGACTTTTTTGTTGTGTTAATTTACTAACTAAATCATTAATATGATATTAATACCGTGTGTAAATTAATTCTTATAAATCGCTTAGTTTCAAGAACTTATGGTAATAACTTTTAAGAATGAGAATATTTATTATGTTCATATATATATATTTTTTTTTTGTAGACAGATGGTTAGATTATCAAAGATGATGAATTATGTTTTACTACGATTAATCCTTTTCTTTTTTTGTCACTAATTGATTTTATTTTTAAAAAAAAATCAAAAAAATTATATGAAAACCTCCCTCCATATTACTCTAAAAGATTAAGTAATAACTGATAAATACATTAGTAACTTGATCATAGTTTTCCATTATGATAATAAAGATAATTAGGTTTTTTTGAATTATAAAGGATTACATGTAAAAAACAAGTTTTATATATAATTAAAAAATTGTTATAGTTATTTTATACTAAATACTTATAATGAAATACTTTATGCATTTGTTAGATCACGATTAAGATCAATAACATTGTTTATATACACATGAAATTAATTAACTTGATTTAATATCACAATTAATAACAGAGGATACACTCAATCAATTAGGTTTATAAAGTAAAATCAACCTTTATTTTTATCACATAATGACACTTAGTAAAACTTAACTTAGAATACCTAACAAATGCTTAACATCACTCCAACATGTTCCTCTATGCATCGATCATGGTAGATTATTTACACTACTGGTGCAAGCAAATAAAGCATGTAAACATTCATCTATAGTTTATACATTATATCAGTCAAGTTAAAGTTATTTATATATACCAACAACAACAGATATAGAGGACTCGACCTCATTCAACGAACTTCATATTTGACTCGAGACAAATTGCAGTACTTATATGTGCCTTCAATATTGACCGAGATTGTTATATGTTCTGCATAATGCTCCAGAGTCAAATCACTCCATACCTCCATTTTGTTAGCTCATATGCCCTGGTTGGAATAAGCCATTCTTGACAGTGTTTGGGATGACATTTGATCAAGCAAAAATAATCTTTATCTATATATATATATATATATATATATATATATAGAGCCACATATCTATTATGAGCTACCTTGTGGTTCCCCTTTTGAGTGAAGTAATATACAAACAGACTCATTCTAATTAGTGTTGGTTTTTTTGTACAAATAGATCAAAATGAATTAGTTGGAAGAGTTCTCATATGGGCTCTCCCATTAGGCCTAAAGAACCTCTCTATTGTAATACCCTTTTGAATTAATAAATATCTTACTTTGTCTCAAAAGAAAAACAAAAAAAAATAATATTTGCTTTAATTACTCAAGAAGAAAGAGAAAATCCGATTGAGAGAAGAATTTTGAGGAAGTACTTTACCAACTTTTCACCAATTTTATTTTACCACTGGAGGATTTACATAAAAGGCAAGGGATTGCTTGCAACAAAGCATTTTTGGAGTCTAGTTGGCCTTTTCAAGACCATTAGGATTTCCATGCCATAATGAAGGTTGACTATTAATCCTAAATATTCAAATCAAGACAAAAGAGATAATTCTCTTCTCTTTTTCTTTGCTAATTTATTGTTTTCTTCTAAATTGTCTTGTATTTTTTTTTTCTTAATAATTTCTTACAAGAATGGTACCATCTCGCACTGTCTCAAAAGGAATTAAAAATAAAAAACAATAGAAATAAAAATATCTGTGTACATAGCAATTAAAATTAAGGATAGGAGCAAAAGGCTTCGTTTTTGATACAAAGAAATAATCTCTCATACGCTAAAGCCATTTTGTTGGCCGTAAACATAGAAACCGCATACCTGCGGCAGGCCTTCCCTCTCTCTGCAAGTCTTGCCGTCCCATCTCTCACAACCTCCCCTAAAGCCTCCATTAACGACTTTACGTTAGGAGAAAACATGTATCCGAACTCATCATCAACCACAATACTGCCCTTTATGCTTGGAAACCTTGATGCCATCACTGGCTTTCCACTCATCATCGCCTCCATTAGCGTCAGATCCAAGCCTTGTGGCCTGAGCGTCGGGTTGACGAAGATGTCAATCGCATTGTAGAATGCTTTCAGTTGAGATGGAGATACAGAACCCAACACCACAACCTGCGGACCTAGATCTCTGTATCTCTGCTGCCATGGCCCTGACCCCGCAACAATCAAGAACACATCATCATACTTCCTTAGCAACTTGGAGAAAGCTTCGTAAAGCAACGGGTGTCCTTTGTCTTTCACCAATCTTCCGGCGATCCCAAGAACTAAGCTTGTATTCTTCGAGATACCAAGCTTGGATCTGAAGTCGCGTCCTAACTTTTTATCTTCTGCAAACTCGTTTTCGTCGACTCCGTTGAGGATTACATGGACCCTTTTGACCGGGATCTGGTAGACGTCTCTTAACATCTCGCCGCAGCTATCGCTTATTGCCACATGATGTGCATAGTTGTTGAAAAACCTTATCTCGTTCAACACTTTTGGTACAGCTCCATATAAGCTCTTGTTGAATTCTGGGGAGATGGTTTCATCTGGATTTCGAGCCAGGTCCTGGTAAATACTCGAGTGTAAACTCTCAAGGGCTATTCCATGCCACGAAACCGCAAGATTGGCGACATTACGGGCTACCCAGTGAGGAAGAGCAACACTTTCTGAGTGGACCACATCAAATGGTTGCCGTTGGTTTTCTTCCCCGAATTGCTCCCAGGCTTTGTTATATCTCCACTTACCCAATTCACCTTGGTGGAAATGAAGCCGTGGATAGGGATTATTGGCAGGAGAAATGGATGATGGGGATTCGATTTCATCGACAGGGGAAGTAAAGACATGAATCCGATGTCCTCTGCGAGCTAAAGCTGTGTGCAAGGTGTAAGCGTGGCGCTCCATGCCACCAGGACTGGTGGTGAGGGGCCATTTTCTGGAGAATACAGCGATTTTGAGCGAGATGGGCGGGTGTGTTTGGGGAAAACTTAGACGATTCCATGCGAAATGGGCATGGCGGAGATCTCCTGACCACAATTTATGGAGAAGAGGTTTGGTGAAAGTTGTGGAGATGGAGATGGGAGTATGGAGGAGGAAGAAAGCAGGTATGGTGAAGAGGGTGATGAAGAACAGAGTGGTGCAGAGGTTAATGGAGTTTTGTTTCTTGGGTTTGTTGTTGAAAGCCATTGGGGTTTATTTTTTTTCTCGTTTGATTTTTGATGATTTGATTTTTGTAAAAGGAAAAAGTTAGGTTAGCAGGCTGGCTTTTGGAGTTTCTTTTTCTTAGTGCGTTTCTCACGCTTCCATGTTCACTTTATTTAATATAAAACTAACTCAACTTTTATTTGGTTTGTCAACTTTAGGCCAGATAGAATAGAGTTTTAAGTTTCTCTCTTTTATTTTATACCTTTTTTTTTTTTTTAATTTCTGCAGATAAAAATTTTCTTCAAAATGATTATAAATTTTGTTATAATTGTAAACTCAACTCATTCTATTTATTGGTGTGTTTTGAATTTGGGAATATTTCAGATTTATCCTGTGGAATTTGTAAAGGATATTTTGGATTTAAAAATAAAATAATATTATAAGTGGGGAATAAGTTATTGTACGTATGTTTAAAAAATATAAAGAGATACATGTGTGGTTGACTAAGCTAAGCCATTGTTGATGCTGTTTACCCCAACTTAAAACGCACATAAAGTTTCCATTTCTTTTCTATCTATATTTTTTATTAAATTAAAATATTTTTTTAAAAAAAATACAATTCAAATAGAATACTTGGAGCTTCAGCAACTGCTCGCTGGCCACAACCTTATCGTTCATCTTTCTTTAATTTACGATGAATTTTAATTTGACATTAACTTTTTCTTCTTGAAGAAAATTGCAGATATATTTAAATTATAATTAAGATTTGAAATAAAATCCATTTTTATTTTAGAATAAATTTCAAACTATGTTTATATGTTTAGCATCATTAATTGAGATTGCGAAGATTAAATTTCGGTATCGTGGTATTGATTTCTGAAAGCAAATTTCAAATTAAAAAAAATTCTTTAAATATATCTTTTAAAAGAGAGTTTTGGGTCCTTCATGCAAATTTCTTTGAAGTGCTTATTTCTCACTAACCACCCCTCTCTCGTAAAGCGTGTTAGTAGCACACACTTAATTCAAAATAATATAATTTTTATTAATGTAAAAGTATGTTGGAGCATTATATTCTTTATATATATATATATAATTGTTAGGTACAATATGAAACTCTAAATCTTTTTTTCTTCTACAATACAAAACAAAATACAAAATTTAAACCTCGAATATAATATCTAACTTTTAAAATATCATTCTGTATCACTACTACTCTGCAGCAGTATCTTCAGTATCTATAAGGTGATACAATGAGTGAGATTTACCATTTTATTAAGCAGATATTACGACATTATAGAATAATACATGCAATATATATATGTATATTATTTTACATACATTAAAATCACATATATTGTATAAAATTCAGAGATCAAATTCACAAATAAGATATGTTGCACTGCATTATTACAATGAGCTACACTTTATCATTATTATGGAGGTTGATCACTCACTCTTCCCACTACATAATGCATAAGCACACTCTTATCACTCATATTGATTCCCAATATGCGAAATATAGAAATGTCATGTAGGGGCACACTGATTCCCCCTTAAACATAGAAATGGTGGGACACACCACACCTTTCTAGCATAATGTTGATGGGAATGGAATAAATCTCTCCCATAGTGAATGCTAAACATATACCAAAAACACATTGGATAATTATACTTAATTCAAAACGAATCTTTTGTCAAACCACATGTTTAGTAAATTCACAAATTCGTAATATACTTCAATAAAATAAAATATATCAAAAATACAAAGTATTAATGATATTATAACATATATTTACATCAATTTCTAAGTAATTAGACCTTTATTCATTACTATCAACTTAACAATTGTCTTGGATAGAGTCCTCTCTCATAATTTCTCTTAATTTTTTTGTTCGCTCAGGCAGAGTTTTCCTTTATATTTTCTCCAATTTCTTTGTTCACTCAAGCAGTCTTTGATGTGAGCATGACCAAACCAAGAGACATCCCAAAAATATAAATAGAGTTGGGAGGGAAAGAACCTGCAATTTGGGAGAATCTCACAGAAAATAAAGAACTTGTGAGCTAGTGGCAGCTTGCAAGAATGTTGCTCGCATGTATAAGGTAGCATGAGAAAGGGGTATTGCGCACACAGGGCACGTTCATGCAGGCCAGCGCACACTACGCGCATGCATGCAGGCTAGCACACATGCGCATCTACGCACGCAACAACCACATGAAGAAGAGTCCTAATGCTTGTGGGAACCCGCATGATGCGATGATGCGGGAGGGTATAGGGCTGATCGAATAAACTCTTATAAACTTCACCAATGCATGCAATATAGAAACTTAACCACCTAAATAACCCCTCCCTCTACTTGAATCTACAATCAAAAATATGGTATGTAAAAACAAGAAATAGGAAAATAAAAACGAGAAAAAGAAAAATACCACTGACTGACCCGATAAATTGATCCCAACTCTTCAGCTCCACAAGACTTCAAAAAGGTCTCTACCTTTGAAGAACTGAAGATGCTAAAAGAAATTAGCAAAACTAATTCTTGAAGAAAGTAAAAGCTTCAATTTTATTCTTCTCAAATGTAACTTTATAGCCTATGGGCAAACCTTTATATAGACTTTGGGATAGTTTCAATTGAATACAAATGCCTGAAAAATAATAAAATAAATACAAGATAATTTTTTTATCTCAATCTATAATTCAAAATAATAATTAAATAATTTTAATGGATAGATTTATATTAAGATAATAATAAATAAAAAATAATAAAATAATTACAACAATTATTGCATGTGATTTTAGATAAAATCATATAGGCAATTTAAAGAAACAAGGTTGGAAATTCGGATAAGCTTGCTGCAATTTTAAGCCACACATGTGACATGTGCGGCTGACATAAATGGCATGCATAAACAAAAAAAGGAAAATAAAAATTAAAAAAAGAAAGATGCCACGAATTTACTCGATAAGTCGATCCCAACTCCTCAGCTTTACAAGACTTCAGAAAGCTCCCTAACTTTCAAGAACTTGAAGATGCTAAAAGAAATTAGCAAATCTAATTCTTGAAGAAAGCAAAAACTTTAATTTTATTATTCTCGAATGTATGTTTACAACCTATAGGTAAAAACTTTTATATAAGCTTTTTCTGAAATAGTTATAAACAAATACAAACACTTGAAAGATAAAATTCTATCCTAAAAGAAATAATAAAATATTAATCTATCCCAATCTAAAATTTAAATCAATAATTAAATAATCTTAAAGGATAGATTTTATATTAAAATATTAATAAGAATAATATTTAAAAAAAGTAAGAAATTATCCCATGTGTTTTTCATGAAAAACACATAGGGAATTGAAGAGGGAAAGTCCAAAAAGTACACAAGGTGCGAGCTTGCCAAACCAGGCACGCGGGTTAGCCCGTGGAATATGCGCGAGTTATAGTGAGTGGGCGCGCGGTTTGCTCCGGATAAGGCATGCGGGTTGCATACATGGACTGTTCCTTCTAGGTCATTCGGTTCGTTGTACAGGTTGGCATGTTCGCACACACACAGATCGTATGTCCTCGCCGTGCTTGGCGTGCTGTTGGGCTATCGAAACGAATTGGACGCTGACGTGCGCCTGGTTTGCTGCATTGTGACATCCCGTTACCTAATGGATAAAGGAGTTCAATAACAGAATAAATATGAGTGCAAAATAAATTATGCAACAAAAGAAAATCATCAATTACAAAATATTTGATGTTCAAATACACTTGAGGCCAAGAAGATGAATGACAAAAATATACACAATATTATTCGAGCCACTTTTCTCATTACATAAAGAATAGTTATCAGAGTATAGTTATCCAAATGCAATGAAAAATCCATTATAGATCCATGAATGGATAAACCAAGCTTCAAGGGGCAGCTCAGGAGGTAATTTCTCACTATCATCATTGTCTAGGGGGAAATGTATTGGGATACTCAATAAGGAAAATAGTATTCAAACTACACTACTAAAGTTTTAAAAGTTATTTATTTCAAAATCATGTCATTAGAAACAAGTGACTTATCTCTTGGACTTGTCGTAGAATATATTCATTTGAAATATTTACAAAACATTTACTTTTTTTTTTAAACTAAATCAGAAACATCCGGCTTCAAGTTACAATTAAAAGAAGTAAAGACAAAGTAGTGCACAACAAAAGAGTCAATGCTACAGTAGGGTAATATAATAGAAACTAGTTAAACAAACTAAACATGACATGACATGTCAGAACAGTGAGCAACATAATGAAAACCAGTTGAATTAACTAAAAAGCATGACAATGTCATGATAGAATCATGAGAAACATATTCTATTCAAGGAAACTATCAAAACATGAGAAATCAATAAATTATTCTAGCTATATCATCAAATGGTTTTAATTCATTTACGGCTTTTAGAGATATACGCATGGAATTGTTTTAACTTATATCAACAGAGGGTAGAAGAGATCCCCGACTACCACGGTGAATGGAAAACAGTTCAATTCGATATATAGTATAACAGTTGAAAACTAATAATCACGGTCGTATTTCGCCACTGTGGTCCCTACAATTAGTCACAATTCCACTCTTATTAGAGGAAATGCTAATACCATTCACAGGGAATGGTTCACCAACAGTCAATAGTAGTCAATTTGGTAATCCCTCAGTGATAACAGTCAAATGAATTTTCAATCTTTCCACTTTTCTTATCAATTCAAATAATCATTTATCTTTATCGTCTCGACTCGATGGGGGTCCACAATCTAATCTTGACCCAATAAAGAACCATATACCCAGATTAGACCATCAGGTTACCCTCCAAGTTAAGGCCCCAAATGAGTAACCCTCTAAACCATTGCTTCTGAAGCGAAGTTGAGGGTCTAACCTATACACATGGCATATTATATAAAACAATCTCAATAGGGAATTCATGTCTATACACTATACGAAAGTAAGAATTCTAAAATCATGTGATTTACAATCTTTAGCATACATTACCAATTCATGCAAGAATAACAACCAAGAATTCATACATTTTGTCATTCCTTAAATGTTCTCTTTATCTAGAAAATATATTCAAAAGAGTACATAAAAATACTAAGATCCCTTACCAAAGTTCAAGCTTTTGGTTTTCCCACAACAAGATTGTTTATATATTTTGAA